ATTATTATAAAATAATAGTTTTGCCTTCCTTACAGTTTAAAATGGCACCAAACAATAAGAAGGTGAGGAGAAAATACGTGTGCTTGAGTGTGATGCAGAAATTACAGCTAATAGAGAAAGTGGAACAAGGCGCCTCGGTTAAGGATGTTTGTAAAATTTATGACGTCGGGAAAAGTACCGTCAACGGAATCCTTAAATCAAAGACCAAATTCCAACAGTATATGTCACCACACAATATTCATAGCTCTAAATCATATACTTATGTAATAGGGAATACAAAATCTTTCAAGATTGGACCAAACAAAAATATAGATGAAACTCTGTATATGTGGTATTGTCTACAGAGATCCCGTGGTATTAATGTACAACAATCACAGTTGAAATTGCAGTTTGAGGCTCTTATAACACGTATGGGACTCAATATCACACATACGAATGCCTGGTTGATGAATTTTAAAACTAGACATGGCATTACTGTATTATTGAGCGATGAAATCTCTAGTGAATCTTCAGCATCAGAAAAGAAAATCAGTAACGAAGAGCAAGTTAGGCAAGAAGAATCAAGTAAAGTTGGAAATGTGCCTTCATCTTCAATTTCATCTCGGATTGCTTCTACACGTCACGACATTTCTAAATTAAATGCTTCTACAATAGGGAAAAAGAAATGCATGTTACGTAGCCCAAATTGCGACTTAGATAAAGCTCTGTATAAGTGGTATAGTCTACAGAGATCCCGTGGTATTAATGTACAACAATCACGGTTGTAATCGCAGTTTGAGGCTCTTATGACACATATGAGACTCAATATCAAGGATGCTAAAAACTGGCTGCAGCGTTTTAAAAAGAGAAATGGCATTACTTCATTTGTGAGCGATGTACTCTGTAGCGAATCTTCAGAATCAGAAAAGAAAATCATTAATGAAGAGCAAGTTAGGCCAGAAGAATCAATTAAATTTGGTAACGTGCCTTCATCCTCAGTTTCATCTCCGATTGCTTCTACAAGTCACAACATTCCGGAATTATCTATAAAAGCGGAAGATCTTTCTTTACCCTTATTACCATCTACGAGAGCTTCTGCACATCAGAACATTTCGGAAAAGTCTATAAATGTTGAGAATATGCCTTCATCGTCATTTTTACCTCCAATTGCTTCTACACTGTCAAAAATTTCCGGAGACTCTATAAAAGTTGAGAATTCCTCTCCAGAATCATATTCTTCTCAAACCGATGTTTATCATAATTACGTTTGGGAAGAATACGATATAAAATCTGAAGGTTGCCCTTCACCTTTAGATGATAAATCTTCAGATGATAATTAAAGATTCGCTAACACTATAATATCAGCAAAATACGCCTCTTGGACCACTTTGTTAATCAATAAAGAATGTTTATAATGATATAATTTAACAATTTTGTATTGTATAGTTCTGTATACCATATTAAAGCTATTGTACAATAATGGCATCAAGAAATAATAAAAACAGCATTTTATATTATATTATATACAAGAAATACATTAAGATGCGTTCCCATATAACCAGTGTGAGCACATGTTGCTTTCAAATATTGCTAACAAAAATGTTAGCATCTTGCTGTGCATCTATGTATATTGTGCTGTTGTTTGTTAGCATTTGATATCGGAAATAAAATATTTGTATAATTCAAGCATTATTCTGGTACTAAGTGCCCATGGAACGCCAATTCCCGTACAATGTGCTTGAAAGGTGTATTTACATTCCCACTTATAATTAGTACACGTGTTTGTCCCACATGAAATGCGCATTTAAGGTAAATTGTGGCAGCATATTAAAAAAAAACTGTACCGTTGATCTATTATGTTGAAGTTTTTATGGATAAGCATGTATGTGTAAATATAAAGAATTATATAAAGTTATATGTCTTAAATATACCCAAATGTGATATTCGCACCT